CTAATTCTTGAAAAAAAAATCTCATGCTCGCTAGTGACTGGTGGGCTACAAGATGAAGTAGCCTGCACTATTAGTGAGAAGTTGTGACCAGTGGGGTTCATCCAGTCGGGAGTGGGGATGGAGTTCCAGCCGATGATATTGGTTGGTACTAGTCGCGCTAAAATCATGAGTGTGTAAAAGTTAGAATTCATAGGTTGGCCATTGACTCGTGTCTCAGTGGTTGAATGGCATGCGAGCTCGACTCGTAACCGGGATGGTCTTTGGTTCGAAACTCAATGGATGCCTACCGCCGATGAGTCCCAAACTAGGCCGAAACAGCTGTCCAGTACTCTCTGGTTCTCTAAATGATATCAATCCATGGTCTAACCTGTAATAATAGTAATAATGAAACACTTCGAAGACGATAATTTGCCATGATGTCACTGAAAAATGCTTCCCGGTTACAATGAAAAACCCTAACCTTAGTCCTTGGCCCTAACTCTAACGTGCTATCCAACCTATTTTGATGTGGTTGTGTTCTCTGAACTATCTGGATGATTTATTAGCGAAGCTTTCATTGCTCTACTAACTAGAAAACATCTTCAGCGCATACACTTCAATTTGTTGAAGTGAGCTTTTAGATTTCTCCATGAGTTTATTAGTCATCTCTCCCGGCGAACTTGAACGTTGTGTTTTCACACCCTCCAGGCTACTTGTATCGGTATTGGTGGTGATTGTTTCCCTGACCTGAAGTTTAACCCTGCATACAGACAACCACGGACATCAATTCGAGTGGGACAACCAACGTTCAAATATTAGACAGAGGAAACAACAAGAATGCTAGAGAATTTTTAGAAGCCTGCCTGGTATTCCAGTAAGAATCGTCAATCAATAGACACATAGAGATAGACAAAATTTACCAATTGATAAGAAGGAAATCTCATAGACAAAGAATCAAAGTTCAGGTCAAGAAAACAATCAATACCGATACCTATACAAGTAGACTAGAGGGTGTGAGAATACACAAAATCAGCCAATCACATTCAAGGTCACGTTACCAGGAGAGATGACTTATAAACTCATGGAGAAGTCTCAAAGCCCACTTCAACAAATCGAAGTATACGCTGAAGATGTTGTCTAGTGAGTGAGGCAATGAAAGCTTCAGAAATAAATCATTCAGCTAGCTCAGAGAACACAACCACATCAAAATCATCCACATGAGTTACAAATCTTCTCCATCATATGTATCCAACTTATTGCCCAACACAGTACCTGAAAACGAGATCACAGATGAAATTTGTACATCAGTTTAGTAGTGCACAGCATTCCATACTACTAGCGTTATAATAACAGTCCACGATTGAACAAACTCTCTCATCTCTTCCTCACACGATCTCTTCCATGTCACCCTCGCACCGACGACTCACTCGTCGCTTCCCATTTAGATTCCACTCGAGTAACAGCCTGCATTGTGCGCGATGTCATTCGATGGTCTCCTCAGTGGCGTGTGCCCGATCCATCTCCACTTTCTGCTACATATTTGTTGAGCGATTGGTTTTTGGTTGGTTTGTTACCAGACAGAGTTTCATGTTACTTATACTTTCTGGCCATTTGATCTTGAGTATGTATCCAGCGAAGGTAGCAGCTGTTGATGAAAGTCTGTAACCTATTGGAAATCCTTTTCGTGACTACACGCAGTGCAAGTTTCTGACCCGTATAGAAGCACTGACCGACTTGACATTGGTGTGCGGAAGATTTCCAAACTGGTTTCAGGTTGATGAAGGCGTATCTTGCCTTTCCGATCCTGGCAGGTTTCTGTAATCCAACGAATCAATAGTATGCGTTCGCACTGCACATGGTCTCTATTCATTCAGGTTGGTCAACCTTTTCTTCTCTTTGTATGAATAAAAACCCTCTTTTGCAGTATTTTCCCAATAATATTGTCATCAAAATCAATTTTATATTCATCTTTTCTGTAGTATGTGTATTGTGATTGCTATAGCAGTTGGTGTTTTTTTTTCTAGGCCATTTTAGTTCTAATTTATTCATAGGTGGACACATTTAGTCAGACTTTTACATATCTGCTGCCTTTCTGCTTGACATGGTGATCAAGGTCAGTCTGGAAATAAACCATACATGGGGATACACATCCTTTTTGATTGGACACTAGACAGGCTAAATAGTGTAATGTGTCTAGTCCTTTCTTTGGTGCAGACTGAATTCTATCAGTTAGTAAGGTTGGCAATATGGCTACCAAGACAATGCTATTATGTGGCACACCATCACGGTGCACTGTGAATTGTTGATGTTAGTTGGTTGCCGGCAGTTGCCAGGATGCCCTGAACCTAATCCGCATGCTAGTTAGTACTCGTCAGCAAGGCGTATCTGCAACCTAGAAGGAACTCATGTCCCTTATGAGATTCGAAGCTGCGTGACTCATCCGTTTATGGACATCTCTCACGTCCGTCACATATATATTTATGATTGGATGGAGGATTTCATCATGAGCTGACATCAGTTAGAGAACCACTGGAAAACCTGCCCAGTACTCCCAGGTTTCCCAGTGGTTCTCTAACTGATGTCAGCTCATGATGAAATCCTCCATCCAATCAAACAAAATCCCTACAAAACCAATACTTCAAAATTAATCTGATGCTCACCAGCGACTGGCCGTATTCAGGCAGTGACCTGGGGTTCTAGTGGGAAGCCATGGCCAGTAGGGTACAGCAGGTTGAAGATGAGGCATTAACTCATCGAAGAAGACATTGCGAAGTGGTCGTGCTATGTCGTGAATTGGCAGAAGTTGGAATTCATGGGCCATTGGATTGGGTCTCAGTGGCTCAATGGTCTACGAGCTCGCCTTGTAACCAGAAGGTCCTGGGTTCGAACCCCAGTGGGTGAAGAGTCCCAAACTAGGACGAAACAGCTGTCCAGTACTCCCAGCTGGTTTTCCAATAGTTCTCTAACCAATGTCAGCTCATGATGAAATCCTGTAACCAATCAATCAAATCCCTACAAACCAATGCTTAAAAAAACTGTTTTTCCTTATGGTTTAATTATGTATTGGTTTACAGGCATTTGACTGGTTACAGGTTTGTTCACGAGTTGAAATCAGCTAGTGAAACTATCGGAAAACCAGCAAGGAGTATTGGACAGCTGTTTCGTCCTACTTTAGGACTCTTCACCAATGAGCACTTACTGAGGTTCAAACCCAGGACCTTCTGATTACAAGACGAGCTCGTAGACCATTCAGCTACTCTAATGAGAAGACATAGTCAGCGAGGTCCATCAAGTCAGGTAAGAGATCAGTTACTCGCTTTGCACATCCGATCATCACTCTACCACCGTAGAACTCCTTGTGTCCAATGACATCATTGTGTGAGTGATTCTAAGGTCTAAGGCAGCATGTGTTTAGACACAGTGGAGGAGGTCACAATTCATTGAATGTCATCACTTAGAAACATAGCGAAAACAGATGTAGTGATGAAGATTCCTGACCAACATCAACAACAACAACAGACAACAATCAGCCAGCATAAATGGGAGAAATCTGAAAGAAGCAACCTCCTTTACCTACCTACCTGAGAAGCGTCGTTTCAACTACAGGCGGACGGAACTGATGAGGATATCAAAGCAGGAGGATCGGGAAAGCAAGGTAAGCTTTCATTTCTCTCAAGTCTGTGTGGAGGTCAAAAGCACTTAGCATGAAAATTAAGATCCGGATTTGCAACTCAAATGTGAGGTCAGTGCTACTCACTATACGGATCAGAGACTTGTCCAGCGCGTCACGAAGTATACTTCGAACAAACTACAAACCTTCATAAACAGCTGTCTTCGATCAATACTCAAGATTAGATAGCCAGAAAATATCAGCGATAGTGAGGGATCTCTGGGAGCGAACCAACCCAGGAGGAACCGATGGCATGGCATCAATCCATGAAATCCCTGACAGTTAAACTGAGTCAGGTAGGGAGGGAGATGCAGACTTCCGGGTTGGGGCCCTCGGGACTCTAAGAATTAATGGCTGGAGACAATAGGTGACATGGCTCAAAATCCTCGTTGTCAGTGGCTTACGCAGATGTATTCAGTCTCTGTAATCTTTCATATTCCTTTCTACCATTACTCATTCTGTTTCACTCTTATACTTGTCAAAACTCTATTGATTCTCTTCTCTCCTTTTCCCGTCTACCTTTGTGTGGTATTTGGAACGTGGCAACTCGAACTTCTGCACTTCGGTGCCAAGTTCTATGTTGAATCCAGACAGACAGACAGACAGGAGGAACCGATTGTTCAACAAATATGCAGGAAGAAATGGAGGTGGATTGGCCACACTCTGTGTAAACAACCCATCAAGTGAGTGACATCACACGTCAGGCTCTCTCTCGAGTGGAACCTGAATGGGAAGCGGCGAGTTGGTCGTCAGTGCGAGGGTGACATGGATGAGGAGGTCATGTGAAGAGGCGATGAAAGCATGTGGGCAGACGTGGAGCCAGGCGATGAAAACGTTGGCAAAGAACCGAACGCAATGGAGACGTGTGGGGCTGAAGCCCTATGTTCCTCTAGGAACTAAAGGAAACAATAATAATAATACTTAGAAACACTGTTTTCGGTAAATTGGAACATGTGCTATGACAAATGTCATCTTAGAGGCTTCCTTACCTGTCTCTGTTCCCTAGCCATGCATAGAAAAAGTGGAAATGAAGGATATGTGTGCTAGGTTAGTACTCGTTGGCAAATACCGACTCCTTGGTCGGGCCCGAAAGATAATTTGTGTCCTAAATAGTAAATCCAGTCACTCTCCGTTTACATCAACTATATATAACCAAGAAGTGACTAGGATGGCATATTGATTTCCCATGAAATAGGGACTTTATCACAGTTAAATGATTATTCAGCTAGACAATTAGACAGATAAACAAATAAGCAAGGTGAAAACGAGACACAACAAAAAAAAACAACAACAATAACAACAATAATACAATAACAATGTTAAAGTTAAATACACCCATGCCTACACCTACCTAGTACAGCTATTAATATTGTCGGTTCACGTGATTTAATTTGTTGTAAAAATGGGAGAATATCATCCATAACAATCCATTTGTCTAAATGATCTAATAACTTCCCAATGCACACGATACAATGCATACGTGTCTATACATGTATAAGAGAAGACATGAAATGATAGCAGATAAGACAATATAAAAGACATTATTTTCATCAATATATATAATCTGTTCCTCGGAATTTGAGCAAAATAAAGTGCGTCAGAGGTACATCTTCATTCCCCTGGGTTTTCTCTAATCACTTTCAACCATCTGTCGACCGAGAGGTACTCTGGAGATAGCTGGCTGTAAAGGGAATGCCAAGGATATAGATTGCACTGGTCAAGGCGCTCTACTCGAACTCATGCAGACAGCCAGATGAGGGCTTACAGCGAGTTATTATCTGAAGCGGAGATAACTAGTGGTGTCCGTCAGGGATGCCCACTATCCTCATTTCTATTCAATTTCACCATAGATGTACTAAAGGAATTAACCCTAACAGCTGACTTCGGCGACTCGGGGATTGACTTGTTACCATCAGGGAATAATCTCGTTGTTGACTTAGAATATGCAGATGATTTAGTCCTCTATCCTAAGTGAAGACGATGACAAAATGCAACAGAGTCTTCTGAACACCTTGAGCTGCAATCTTCGAATGTTTGGCATGCGATTCGCTCTAGCTGTCAAATGTAAGATGATGCTATAGGACTGGACTACATTGACTCCTAGCTTAAAGATAGACAGGAGTGAAGTGGTTGGTGGAGCGCGTTGACCACTTCACTTATTTGAGAAGTTGCGGCAGCCAGCCAGTCCCAACGGGTTGATCGCTGACGAAATCTCACCAAGGATACAGAGGGCTAGTTCACATGTGCCAGTTTACACCGTATCTGGCGTAGACGTGATATCCAGCTGGCTGGCTGACGACCAAAGGGCGCGTGTACTGATCAGTAGTCCGCTCTGTTTTCCTTATGTTTGGCTGTGGGACATGGCCATTGAGAGTGGGAGATATGAAAAGGCTGGCTAGCTAGCTGTCTTTGATCATAGGTGCCTGCGTTCTATCTCCCGTGTTAGGTGGTAGGTGTAATAGGGTGAGCAATATTGAGGTTGGGCATCGGTCGAGTGTTGGGTAGGTGGGAGAGGAAATCAATTGACGAGGCTGTGAAGCTACATTCACTCCTTGTGACTTGCAATACCCAACGAAACTATATTGCTTTTCGTTATTACTATTCTATTTGTCTCATATCCATGTTTACTGTCTTTATTTTGCATTTCTTTTAACTTTCTTCTCTTTCTTTTTGTGCTACATGGAGTGGAGTGTGGCGACTTGAACTGCTGCACATCGGTGCAAAGTTCTATGTCGAAAACAGACAGACAGACAGACGACCAGCTACACGACAGGCCACAAGCTTTCGTTCCCTCCTCATTTCACAAGTTAGAAGAAGAAAGCAGAACCAGCAAAGGCAGGACTTCAAATGAGCACAGAGAAGACGGAGGTGATGAAGATAATCAACCAACCAACAACGACAACAACAAGCACCAATGACTATCAACGGAAGCATTGTTTCAATAACAGGCACACGGAATGGATGAGGATGTTGAAACCAGCCAAGATCGGAAAGGCAAAGCAGACACTGTTCACTCTGAAATCAGTTCGAAAATTTTCTGCACTGACTCAGCATACGGAACGATATGAAAGTTGAATCCAAGGGAAAGCGCTTCCATTTCTATGTGACTTAACTTGAGACTCGACCGATAAACTCCTCAGGATTTTCTGGGAAGACATCATACAGTTTCTGCTTTGTCAGGGATTTCCACAGAGTTTTATAAAAATTTGCACATGATTTCTGTTGAAGCTCTTGAATGAAAGTGATGAATTTGATCCGTAGTACTAATATATTCAAACTATTGACAACACCATCAAAGGATCGGGCTTCAGTTCTCAATTTTGAAATCACAGATTTTGTTGATTCAATATGCGATTTTGTAATGCGTCGAAGATTTTTGAGAGATGGCAGTAATTTGCAAGTACTTAGTGACTTGATGAGGATAGCAGTGGGAGCAGTGCAAGCATTCATCGCAAAACTTCATTCGAGTCACTTATCTGGATATTCCTCAACGAATTGTCACCAAGTGATTCAATAATTTGAAAGATTCTGCGGGGAGGCGATTTTTCAGAAATTTCACACATTTATTCCCCTTAGTAAATTTCAATAAAGCAAGAACAACAACTCAGCGAGGCGTTCGAAGTGAATACAGGAGTCGGACAAGCTGGCTGCCTATTATCACCAACTGTGCTGGACTGGATTATGTGTTAGACTGTGCGACGGGAGTGAGAAGACAGGAATACGCTGGACCACCGATAAAAAGACTCTAGAAGATCTGGATTTCGCAGACGATATATGTCTAATTTCTTCATTGAAAGTAAACTGTACGTTCAATGTACATCTCGAAACCAGACGAGAAAAAGAAGACGGAATTAATTTAGAAATAACTCACAGAATCTTTAAAAAGAATGAAGAACAATCATCTCATTCATGAAGAATTATACGAAAAGATCAGACCAACAGGATCTCTAATACCAAGACTTTACGGTCTACCGAAAATAAACAAGGCTGGCCTTCCACTCCACCCTATCTTGGATATGTCTGGATCGCCCTATCATCCAGTAGCTGGATGGCTAGCTGAAATCCTTGAACCTGTCAGGGAACAGCTATCTAATCATTCCCTTCGGGACACCTTCCAATTTGTTGAATGTATACAGGATATAAATGCGTCGAATAAACATATGTTGTCTTTGGATGTAGAATCCCTATTTACGAACGTTCCACTGACAGAAACTATATGTTTTATATGCAAATATATAGAAGACAACAAACAGAATATAGGTATACCCACTACAGATATGTCTAATTTCACATAAACTCGAAGACTTACAGGCGAAAACCAACAAACTGGCTGAAGAAGCAGCGAAGACAGGACTCCATGTGAACATAGAGAAGACGGAGGTAATGGAGATACCCGACAACAACTAGCCCCAATCACCATCAACGGAAGAGATTTAACAGAGGTTGCCTCCTTCAGTTATCTGGGAAGCATCGTCTCAACTACAAGCGAAGGAATGAAGATGTCAAAGTTAGAATCGGAAAGGCAAGATAAGCCTTCATCAACCTGATACCGATTTGGAAACCTTCTACACTCAACATAAAAAACAAGATTCGGATTTTCAACACCAATGTAGAGTCGCTTCTTCTATACGGGTCAGGAACTTGCACTGCATGTCACGAAAAGGATTTCCAACAGCCTGTTGCAGACTTTTATCAACAGCTGACAACTTCGCTGGCTGGCTCCATACTGAAGATTAAGTGGCCAGTCAGAAAGAATAAGTAACAAGAAACTCTAGCTGGCAACAAACCAACCAAGAACCGATCGCTCAAATATGTAGGAGAAAATGGATAGGGCGTACATTGAGGAGACCGTCGAATGACATCGCGCACAATACAGACCATTGCTCGAGTGAAACTCAAATGGGTCGTCAGTGCGAGGGCAACATGGAGGCGATGAGAGATTGCGGGCAACCGTGGTCCAAGCTGAAGAGGACGGCAGTAGATAGGACAAAGTGGAGATGTGTTGTTGAAGCCTTATGTTCCACTCGGAACTCAAGGGAATAATAATAATAATATTAATTATAAGAGGAACAACAGTTTTTTTGCTTTATTCAAATTTATTATAAGGGGGAATATAAATGTATGAAACTGCTGTTTAACAATGATCGGTTTACTAACTACTCATTTCAACCAATTAGTAGTATATAACAGGTATATGAATCAAATTACTGAATCATATTTCTATTCTTATCATCATTACAAAGTACATCAACAATTTTACGTATAAGTAATCCATACATTATATAGATATGATCTACAAGTTAGTATATATGAAGATTAAACGAACTACACATAAAAAATGATCGAATGAAGCATTTTATTGTTATTATAATATAATATTAATCGGATTAATACACGTATGGTATTCAAGTAGACATGCACTTACTCACTTACATACAGACACACACACACACGCAGAGAAATAAAGAAATCAATACGCTTGTGTTTAATTAACTTAAAGTGCCATATTTAAACAACTTACTGATAAATATTCTGTTGATAAGCATAACCTTTGTATTCTAGGTAGAAGGGAATTTTTCAATACGCTAATATCCATTGCTTTACCTATACCTGGTAATGATTTAAGGCAGAGTTCCTACAGTTGGGAGAAAAAAATGAAAAAACAGGAAAAAAAAACAATAAACATATTTGGAGTATTTGTGTGGTGAGAGCTGTCTGCTAGCCAAAATTGGTAGGCAGTAATTTACGTCAAGGTTTGCGTCCCAAATCGGGGTCATAAGAAAAAGCATTAACAAAGCTTAACCTTGAGGAACTCAACAGCCAATCACAGAAGACTGCGTGGGCGGATACAATTCGCGGATATTATTATTATTATTGTATCCTTTAATTCCTACAGGAACATAGGGCTTCAGCCGTGCGTCTCCATTGCATTCTGTTCTCTGCTAGAGTCTTCACCTGGCTCCAAGTCCGCCCACACGTTTTCATCTCCTCTTCACATGACCTCCTCCAAGTTACCCTTGCACTGACGACCAACTCGCCGCTTCTTATTCGGGTTCCACTCGAGCGATGGCTTGTCTAGTGATGTCACTTGATGGTTTCCTCAGAGTATGGCCAGCCAATCCATCTCCATTTCTTCCTGCCTATTTGTTTCACAATCGGTTCCTGCTGGGTTGGTTCGTTCCCAAAGATCCCTGTTGCTGATCTTTTCTGGCTGGCCATTTGATCTTGAGTATTGAGCGAAGACAACTGTTAATGAAGGTCTGTAGTTTGTTTGAGATGGTCTATATGACGCGCTGGCCAAGTCTCTGATCCGTACTGTGAGTAGCACTGACTTCACATTGGAGTTGAAAATCTGGATCTTATTTTTGATGCTGAGTGTTGTTGACCTCCACACAGACTTGAGAGTAGTGAAAGCTTGTCTTGCTTTTCCGATTCTTGCTTTGATATCCTCGTCAGTTCCGCCTGTAGTTGAAACGATGCTTCCAAGGTAGGTATTCCCGCATGTATGGCCTGACTTTCTAAGAAACGGCCACAAGCAGTACAGAGTAGCCCTCAGCAAAAAAAAAAACAATCAATCAGAAGACGTTGCTTCTCTGCTAACAATAACGCTGATAATAATGTACATAAAAATCTATAAATATCTGAACAAAGCAAGAAATACAGTTTTAGCAGAAAAGATATTGAAGAGCAATGGGTACCCTCAAAGGTTCATCAACAAGTATGGAAGATCTGAAGTCACAAATGTAAAACGAATCACAGTAAGAAAAAAGCCAATCTACTTTCAGCTTGATTATAAAGGTGAAAACGTTGCAGCAATGATCAACAGAAGGCTGAGTACATCACTAGCCATAGCCTATCCTGCAGCTAAGCTAGTTCCCGTCTATTGAACGACTTGCTCTCCTTTGGTGCAATCAAAAATCGATAGATATCCTTCTCATGTTAACTCCAACTGTATATACAAATTTACATGTATCTGCGGGAGCAGTTACATTGGAAGAACAGAAAGAAGGGCATATCTACGATTTTCTGAACATGTACCAAAAAGCTTATGTCTAAAGGGAACAAATGCTTTAAACAGTGCCATCGCCAGGCATCTCCTCGACACGGGTCATGAGGTGGACGTCGAAAAGTCATTCAAAATTATCAATAAGCAAAAGAGCTCAATTCTCCTTAAGTTTTCTGAAGCCATTTCCATCAAGCGCCTGAAACTTGACTTATGCCTTCAGAAAGAAGCAGTTATCAATCTTTCTTTGCCCTGGTAACTGGATATTTTTCATCCTAATGCGAGATACTGAAAAGTTTTCATTTTGTATGATTATTATTGTTCGGAATAGTATTTAATATTGCATAAATGTATGTATATATTATTAGTGTATGCGATTAATGATCGATTGGTTTTTGTTTAAAATGAACTCTGTGCAAGTATGTTGAAATTGTTTTGTAGATGTATTTAATAATGTCTTTGCCCTGTAAGCAGCTGACGAGAAGGCAACGAAATAAACAGTGATGGTACCATTTTATTCTGCTAAAACTGTAGTTCGTGCTTTGTTCAAATTCCTTAAGGGGAATAAATGTATGAAACATAAATATCTCTTAATTTTCTCAATAAACGATCTGTTGTCTGGTCCTTGTCTTCTGTTGTTACAATATTTCATTCAACACTTTTGTATGAGTATAGTGTTATTTACCTAGTTTCCCCGTCTTGCTGGATAAACGTTCCAATATCATTGGTGCATTCGCGCCTGTTAGGTGCCTAAAGTTTAACTTCGCCAATTCAAGCAACAGTCAAAATGTGGAGATGGTTGGACGGTAAAATGCTTGCCAACCACATATATGGTCAGAATTTCGATTCTTAGTCGACGCACTGCTAGACCTCGCCTAGCTGATAAAAAATCCAGTGAAGAGGGAAGGTAGAGCGTGAGGGTAGCAACCCCATCCTCTGAAACGGGAAGAATGACACCCCACTACCACGGAAACTTCAAAGTTCAAAGCCTGAAGCTTCTATGTTCCATTCAAACAGCGAAATGAGAGGGGAAAACATCGAATACACACCACACACACACACACACAGAGAGAGAAAGAGTAACTAACACAATTTAAAATCAACTTACTTGTATCATTTTATTATCCATATCTAAGGCTAATTGTAACATTGGTAGAACATAATTACGAAATTCTTTAATTGGAAATTTTGCACTTAGAATATGTAAATTTTGTAAAAATATTAATATAATCTATAAAAGAAACGAAAGACATAAAAGATTAACGTTCAGCGAGAAACCAACCAATCAGAAGACTGTGTTTGTTTGCTTACAATAATCTATAATAATGTACATGAAAATCTATAAATATCTGTTGATTTCCTAAATAAACGATCTGTTGCCTGGCCCTTGTCTTCTGTTGTTACACTATGACAAGTCCCACGGTTTCACAACTTGTCTTTTGTATACTTCTCTCTCTCTCCCTCTTCCCCTTGTTGTCACTTTCCATATCTCCGGTATAGGTGTTTGAAGCAGTAAAGAAAGATTCAGTGATTAACCTCTCTCGGTCTCTCCACCTAACTATATTACTTACTTTGTAATACTCTCAATCTGTCCCATCATCTTATTGTGTGATTATATGCAAGTGAATGCAATGCAATGCAATAGCTGACCTCTGCTTTTTCTAACTTATTGAACTTAGCAGAGTCAGTAATTCTAGGGCCAGATCAATTTTTGTGTTCCAATAATCTAGTTGACCCCAATCTACTAGTTTGACTAATCTATGTAATTGACTCCGCGTCGGTGGCACAGCGGTTAGGACGCTCGCCGACCATGCACATGGTCCGGGGTTCGATCCCCGGCCACCGACGCACTCCTTTACCTCGTTAAGCCAGAAATAAAGTTGGTAAAGAGGAAAGGTTAGGCATGAGGCTAGCAACCCCATCCTGTAAAAATGAACACTGCTACAGAAACTTCAAGCTGGCTCCAGCTTGAAGCCCTATGTTCCATTGGGAACGTGAAGGAATAAACAAAAATGTAATTGAGCCCACTCACAGTCATCATTACATGATATTTGGTAAATTATATTACTTTTCTTAATTGGATTTGCTGGGTCCTTAAGCCGACGAAGTTTATAATAATAATAATAATATCACTTTATTCCACAACAATAACAATTTACACTGGAATTTTCAGCGTTTCATTTTACATATTGCATTGGTTTAGCTCTTTTTATAATTATATAAAAAAAAAATATTAATAGTTAATAGGAAAAATAAAAACCCCAACAAAATACACCATTTCTAGGTCATAGTGAATAATAAATAAATAATATAACAAATCACACATGCAATAATATGCATCATTACATTTTTTAGTTTAGTTAATGATTTAGAAGTTGTAAAAGTTCTTTTCTGAGAATTTTGGTATGGACCCTCAAGTTCTGAGAGAGTTGGTTGGTTGGTTTAAATGCCTCCCTGACTAATTTCAGCCTCGTCGAGAATCCCACGCAAGGCCTCTGACGTTCCTTTTGTATGCGGAAATACTACAGAGGCTTCGAATTCGATATTATTTTCGTCACTTTTATTGCTAGTATTAGTTTTTCTATGGTTCTTCATATATTTCGGAGTAAATTCTGGTAGGTAGTATGTTATTCACTAGTAGTAATATTTCCTTTATTTGTTTGTTTTCGTTACTTAAATCTTCTGGCTTACTAGTTAGGCTCTTGGCCCGATTATACAGACATTTAACTAAACCTATCCTCCTTAACGGATTATGGATGGGATGAATCAAAGTCGAAGTATTTATTATTAGAGTGTGCGTCGGTTCCCTATAAATGCTGGTATATAACCCACCATCTTGTTTTCGTTTTTTACTCTACAGTTTAGTATAGTCAACTCACCCTGTTCATTTTCTCACTCAGAAGTGAATTGGATTCCGTCTACTGTTGGGTTTATATGTATGAGAAATTGAGGGATATGTTCAGATTTCAACACAGTAGGGAATGTGTCATCCACATATCTCCACTATAACCTAAGTGGAGCAGGACTAGACACGTTCTAAGAGCTTTATGTTCCAAACTATTCATAAATATGTCTGCTACTGTTGGGGATATTGGTGATCCCATTGCTACCCACCCCATTCGTTTGTTTGTATATTTTACTTTCAAATTTGAATACAGTGTAGGTTAGACAACATAACTGAACACCTAATATTATTTCATCAACCGAGCGAGAGCTGAGTCCTACTTCTGAGTTCAGAATCAATGTTCAGTTCATTCCTAACTGCCTACAGAGCTGTATTATAATCGGAATATTAGTGTACAAACTGGTTATATCAAAACTAATTTTTTTTTTAAATTGAATCTCCCCTAGTTTCTGTCTCATTATGTAGGAACAAATCTGCCTAGAATCTGACTTATCTCTAATGGGGTATAGTATTGATGCTAAACATTTAGATAACTCATACGACAAAGTTTTCTTAAAGTCAACTATTGGCCTAATAGGATATCATGCTTTATGAACTTCAACAGTGGCATACATTCCATGAGGATTATTAAGGTTTAGGCATTATTATTATTGCTCCCTTGGGTTCCTAGTGGAACATAGGGCTTCAACTGCACGTCTCCACTTGCTTCTGTCTTCTGCTGTACTTTTCACCTGCATCCATGTTAGTCCATACTGTTTCAACTCCTCTTCACACGATCTCCTCCATGTCACCCTTGCACCGACGAACCACTCACCGCTTCCCTTTCGGGTTCCACTCGAGCGTTGGCCTGACGCGCGATGTCACCCAGCGGCCTCCTCAGCCAGTGAGTGTCCAATCCATCTCCACTTTCTCCTGCATATTTGTTGGGCGATCGGTTCTTGTTTTGTTTGTTCTCATAGTTTCTTGTTGGTGATTCTTTCCGGCCATCTGATCTTGAGTACAGAGCGAAGACAGTTGTTGTTGATAAAGGTCTGCAACAGGCTGTTGGAAATATTATTTGTGACACACTGGCCAAGTTTCTGATCCATCCGTATAGAAGAACTGACTGACTTGACGTTTGTATTGAAAATCCGAATTTTGTTGTTGATGCTGAGAGTTTTAGGAATTAGATTAAACGATTTTGACTCACTCAAAGATGACTACAATCGGCGTACTAGATCATCACTAATAGATGTTTTTGATTTTATTCATAATAAGTGTTCACAGCTTTTTTTAAAATTTCTTCATCATATGGGCTTGTTTCAATGTGTTTATTGACCTTGTTAGTGCATCGGTGGTATAGCGGTTAGGACGCTCGCCGACCATGCATATGGTCCGGGGTTCGATCCCCGGCCGACGCACACCTGATATATATGGTCGGCCTGCTAAAGTTGTGCTACCGATATCACATGCTGAAAATTTCATACTTGTACCGAAATACTGTGTGGGATCAAGCTATAATAAAATTAAATAAATAAAATTCAGCCACTGGGAGGATCCGATTCAATGGCCAGCTCATGAATTCTAGCTTCTACCGAACCCGCGGGTTCGAATCTCAGAAGGGACATCAATTCCTTCAAGGTTGCAGATACGCCTTGCTGATGAGTGCCAAGTAGCACGAAACCTAGGTCTAAGGCTTCCTGTGGCCGATTGCCTTCAACCACTTAATACCAACAATTTATAGTGTACCATAATGGTGAGCCACCTAGTGGTATGGTGGCCACATTGCAAGCTTGACTGATAGAATTCAGTCTGCACCGAAGATAGGACTAGACGCATTACACTAGTTACTGACTAGTGTTCAATCAAAAATAGGTGGAATGTGTATATTAGTGGGGGTGGAAGGGGAAATAACTATTGTCACACAGCGATTAGATAATATAATAACAATGATAAATTGTAAAACCAAGATTAAAATGTACAACTACAGCACAGCATGATATTGATAATACAGTTAGCATTACAAATAAAATATATAATTAGATAATATTTACAGTTATCTGGTGTCACCGAAAGAGATAACTATTTATAGGTTGGGAGTGAAGGCCAAGTGGGGGGGGGGCGGAGAGATTGAACAAACCTTTTCTGAACACAGAGACAGGGGGTTGAAAAATCTTTATGGCAACTGCCTCAGCTATGCTTAGCAACCGAAGACGTTGAGATGGGACCTTGTATAGAATTGTAAAAGCTGAATTTGTTTGTCAATCTTGTGCTTTGTATCCATTGGGTGTGCGCCAATATGTTAATATTCTGGTTGGCAGGCACTTGGACTCATGTGAAAAATGGGCTGAATCCATTTATCTAACTCACACCACCCTCTTCACTCACAACTCTCCCCTTGCATCTCATCAGGTAAAACCAGAGGCCTATATAGAAAACTATATGCTCGCACCAGCAAGTACAAAAACTCAACCATACCCTATTTGGCTCGTGTTCTGTACGATAAAGAAAGCATTAGGCGTGAAACTTATAACTTATTAAATAGTCAGTAGGACAACTGGATCTCGTCTTTCCAACTCATATCATTTACAGCTACAACGTTTTCTTTCTTTTCCTTTTCTCTTTTTTTTCTGTTATGTGCTGCTTTGTTTCTTACTTCCTTACAAACTCAATTTAAAACATTCTTCTTCGTCCTTTCAAACTGTGTATCTCGACATTTTTGTTACCGCTTACGCCAGTAAATATGATAGCACCTACTTTTCTAACACCTTCAAACACTCTGTTCACTCTTGGCTTTGCTACCAATATGGTATATGTTGTTGTCATAATGAACTGAGATTTCCTTAATCTATGTAGAATTCTATTTATTATTAATGTACTAACTGGATGAAATAGTGTAGTGAAATGCTGAGAATTCCATTCTGTATCACATGTACTGTTTTGGAATAAAGCAAATTATTATTATTATTATTTCTGACTGACTTTACGACTCCGTTACCTAACCACATTGGACAATACTCCAGAAGGCGATGGTGGACTTGCCAAGTCGTAACTGTCTCCACATGAAAAGTTAAGTTTCTAAATGTTCACTGAAGTGAACAGACTCGGTAGTTTATCCTTCACCTGTATTGGAATTTATACTACACCTAGATTGTTATCAACAAATAATTCACTTCGCTGAACTCTGATCCTTGATATTCTATGAACCACATAAATTCAAATGCCTGTGACTAATATTTCATCAATTATGTAAATGTAAAGCCTGATGAGAATTTACAGAAACTACTTATTTGCCTAGTTAATTCGTCTTCTATAATTATCATTATGGGGATTTTAAAATTACTATG